GCGGAAGTGGGGAATGTGGCCAGGGGGAACTGCCCTTCCACGGAGGTGGAAGGGATAGTAGCCAACCCGGGAAGAACCAGCAGCAAACCCGGGGAGGGCCGAGCAGACGAAAGAACAGCGCAGGGTCCTGTGTCGTTCCTCCACGAAGAGGGGGAGCGACATAATGGTGCCGTGACTCGGATATGAAGCCTAGGCAGGGCTTAGTGTCGTTCCTCCACGAAGAGGGGGAGCGACAATGGTCACATTAATTAGCGCCAGAAAGAGATATGCCAAAGTGCAGAAATCAATTATCACAGTTTCTCATAGTTCCTATGCCAGGAACGAGTCAGTAAAAGGGATAAAAACGAAACATAATAAGTATGTAATTAGGGGCTGGCCTGCAGTGCTGGCATCCCATATGGGCATCTGTTTGTGTACTGGGTGCTCCACTTCTGATCCAGCTCCCTGCTAATGTGACTGGGAAAGTGGTGGAAGATGGCCCAAGTGCCTAGGGACTCTGTATCCATGTGGGAGAATGGGATAAGCTCCTGGCGTTGGTCTGGCCCAGCCTTGGCCATTGCCGCCATTTGAGGAGTGAACCAGCTGGTGGAAGATCTCTTTCTCTTGCTCTCTTCTCTCTCTCTCTGTGACTCAGCCTTTCAAATAAATAAAATCTTAAAAAAAAAAAAAAAAAAAAAGTAAAGTATTGAGGCCGGTGTTGTGGGACTGTGGGGTAAGCCTCTGCCTGCAGTGTTGGCATCCCATATGGGCATTGGCTTGAGTCCTGGATACTCCTCTTCCGATCCAGTTCTCTGCTATGGCCTGGGAAAGCAGTAGAAGATGGTCCCTGGAAGAAGTTCCTGGCTCCTGGCTTCGGATTCACTCAGATCTGGCCATTGTGGCCATTTGGGGAGTGAACCAGCAGATGGAAGATCTCTCTGTGGCTCTATCTCTCAAAAAAAAAAAAAACTTAAAAAAAAAGAAAAAGTATGTAATTACACTACAAAAGTTAGGTGAGCAGGAATAAAAATATCCCCGACTTGGCATTTACTTCCATCTAAAGAGCCCTCTTTATTCAAGAAACCATAACATTACTTAAAGGTTTCTTGCTTCTATTCTAAAGATAAAGGAGCTGTAAAGAACTGAGATGGGTGGACATAATCCATCATCTTGCTGGAGGACAACCATTGACTTTCTAAAAGTAATACAGGAATTGTCTATATTAAAAAAATAATCCTGAGTCACAGAAGATAGTTGCCTAGTCTTAGAAAACTGCCCAGAGCAAGAAACCGCACCACCAGACAAACCAGCTAAGAGCTAGAGGACAGCACTCGAGAGAAGCACCGACTCTAAGCTCAGCTTACTGTTTCTTCACTGGCACAAATCTTTTTGAGGTCACAGTCACTCACTACCCCAAACCTGGGAACTGACATAGAACGGCACGAATGAATGCACTAGATCAACATTCCTTTTGAAAACAGCTGCTATTCTGACATTTCTGGTAATTCTTCATGAAGATTCATTCGTTCAGAGCAGAAGGTCCTAAAGGGTAAGTCTCAAAGGATTAATAGGTATGCCTGAGTACCATACTCTTACCCTTCAAAGCAAGTGGAGTCTCAGAAGGGTAGGTAATCTGTTTTGTGTTCCACAGAGAACAGTACTAATCCCACTACTTGGTTAAAAATTATCAAAATAAAGGCTGGGAATCCCTGAACAAGTTCAACTGGACAGGAAACCCACAACCCTCTTCCATGATCCACCACTACCATCTGGGATTTTCTAAGCAGAAATGGATAGGTTCCATAAAAACTATTCTGTTGTTAGCAGCTCTAACATAGAAGAAGCAAAGACTGTACTGGATGAGATGCAAAGGTCCAACAAAAGTCACAAACAGTAGTTGTTATGTAGGTCTCCTATTTGATTTTGACCAAACATATTTTCTCATCTTTAAAATGTCAGCTCTCTGTACAGGGTATCATATCCAGGGGTTTAACAAACCATGCATTGAAAATATCTGAGGGAAAGAAAACTGCTTCTGTACTGAAAATGGACTTTTTGGTTATCATTCCCTAAACAATACAGAATAACAACTATTTACAGACTATTCTGCTGTGATAAGTATTATAAGTATTCTGGAGACAACTTAAATCACACAGGACAATGTTCATGGGTTATATGCAAATACTACCATATTTTATATAATGGACTGAAGACTATTAGATTTTTAGTACTTGTGAAGAGGTCCTGGAACCAGGCCCCCATGATACTAAAAGATGGAATTATTTATTCAGACATAGGCTTAACATTTTTGATGTTTCTATTCAGTTCAAATATGTGATACTGCAATTGTTTTCAGGTCATAAGCTATGAAAATTTTAACTAATATTTGCAATAACCCAAAAAGGAAATAATTTGAGGAATTCTGAATTACTAGCACTTGAACCAATTCCCACATCAAAGGTGTTAATTCCAGGGCTCATAGGTGGAAGAGGGCTTCTAATTATTACCATACACAAGTACTTATTCATTAGAAAATATTGAGACTTTACAAAGCTTTTCAAACAGACAACTTTGAGTTATAAAATTGTGAGAAGTTGCAAAATCTGCTAGCTAATAAGAAATTTTAAAAACATAATTTACATTCAGCATTTGTCTAGCATAGAGTTCTTCTGCTTTTCATAAAATACAGCAGTAAACCCATTTTCAATTATCTAATGCATTTATCTTCAGAAGATAAAACATGCACTCAAATTTCTAGTATGAATGGCAGGGAAATAACCCATTTTCACAGCCGCCTTTTAGTAAAGGTTTAACTGTTAAGATAATCTACAATGTTGGAATCAGAATTGATCACGTTTGTCAAAGACGTTTTTCAGGTCTAATATAAGGCAATATTCCTTCCCTTGACGATAGGGTTCAAAGGTAAGACGCAAGCTGGACAGCTTAGGTTGAGCCACAGAATGCAATCACACGTTCAATTAATAAACATCATAAAAATAACTTTTAACTGTGGACGTTTTAAAAGCAGCAACATTGCCCAGTCTTTACAAGACCAGGGACGGCCACAGCTTTTACTTAACACGTGCCTCGGATACACTACCAAGAAAGAAAACTAGTAATTAGGTTTGGGCTTCACAGCGTTGTTTTTCTATTACTAATGCCTGCAGGTTTTCAGCGTTAGATTTCTGTTACCAACGGCAGGGCCTAGAACACGAAGCAGTTGCGCGTGAGCAGTTATTTCTTTTTTTAACTCCAGCAGAAGCCCCGCAAACGATGAACACGAAGAGTCAGATGCACATCCTCCGTGCCCCTCCACCCCTCCTTCACGAACACGGTTGTAATTCTGGCGGGACCAGGGGCGGAAAACCGTGGCTCTGGAGGGACAGAGCGAGTGCGTGGGTGCGTGCAAAATCGCAGGTGGGGGCACCGAGACGTGATCGCAGGGCGGGAGGGAAGGATGTTGCCTCGTCTAGGGCGGGAAGCGACGGCGAGAGGAGGCGGTTATGCATGACCGGGGCTGGCACGCGGGGAAGATGGTGGTGGCCGCAGGGCAGGGCGACTGCGGGGGATACCCTGGTACCCTGCAGCACTCGCAGGCGCCTGCGGGGCATGATTCAGGGCAACGAAAAGGGCGCGACACTGAGCCTGGGAATTCCTGAACGAAAGGGAAAAAAGGGCGCCGAGAAACAGGGTTATTATGGGATGGTTGAGGGGGGCTCCCTAGGGAAAATCACGGGACTTTTCTTACCCGCCAATTGCTGTACAGTCTCTTCACCCGCCGATAATAAGCGTCTTTGTCCAGAGTTACAGCCATAGCCCCGGACACCGCTTCTCCTCGGGTTTCGAGAATCACGCGAGGTCCCGGCTCCGCCAACCGCTCTCGGCCCCGGAATCCCGCACTCTCCCAGTGACCCGGAAGTATCGACCTCAAAGATGCCCTTTCCGCTTCCGGGTCCTGAGTGTTTGTTTTATTGTTTTGTTTTTTAAATTCTCTCTCCAGAGAGTCGGGATAGGAGGAGAGAAAGAAAAAGACTGGGGAAAATCACCAAAATGTGCAAGGCGAAAGGAGTCGATTTTCGCGGGGTTTCTGGTCAACTTCGCCAGAGCGCACGCCATGGACGTCATCACGTGACGCTTTGCCCCCGCCCTTACTCTCACCCCGCCGCGAGCTCCCGGAGCGCCTGCTTGGTGGAAGCCGCAGCCGCCCGGCGAGGCAGAAGCGGCGCGAGATCTGACGTGCGCGCCCCGCCTCGCAGGAGCTGCCGCGCGGGGCCGTGACGGCCCCACCCCATCGGCAAAGGCGGGGGAAGCGGAAAGAGCGGGATCTAGCGTGAGATAGGAGAGGGAAGACGACCGTGCCACCGGCTACGCGCCTCTGCCAGAAATGGTGAGGAAGCACTGCTTTAGGGCAGGGAAGCTCCTCGGGGCTAGGACGCTAGGTCCAGCGCTCCTCCGAGAGGGCTGAGGCGCCCAGCCTCGCGACAGATTACAACGCGTGCGAAGGGAGAGCACTTGGCCACAGAAAGGAAAATAAAGTGCCCAGGGTTTATCTGAGCGGTGGGATCGTAGAAAGGTGGGAGGTTAACAGAGATGGCTTGAGGGCTCCACAAACCTTCATGGTTTTTTCTTATAACCCCGAGCCCACGTCGTGGGAGCATCGTTTCAGTTAGTGCCCCTCACTGCGGCTCATGAGAAGCGGCACCATTCCACAGCTTCCCCCAAAGCACCACTATTTCAGTGCAGTAGGGAGAGAATGTACGAGATTCTTGACAGATTCTTGGTTCTCCTTTTCCTAAGAACGAACTCGGAAGTTTGAAACATTTTACCTTTCACCTTAAATCATTCCCTTGTGTTTAGCAAGCTGGGCATTTGCATTTACATATGGCATGAAGTGTTCGGTCCAAGGTAATTTAGTATGAACAGTGCTAACTTCAGGGAAGTGGTGTTGAAGTTACCCACCATGAACATCATCTCAAAGTCAGTACTCATCCTGAGCAAATATAGAACAAGGGAAGAGTGGAAAAGGATTAACTTAAATTTATTAATGCCAAGGGGAAGGAAGGTAACAGTTCCTGACCCTCCAGCTGTATCCACAGTTCGGCCAGGAACAGGCTCTGCCAGAGGCGAGGGCCAGCGCTACATAGTCTGTGGTTAATGGAGGTGTCTAGGGAGGGGTGAGCGCACCAGCAGCTCTAGTCTCCTTTCCTTCCCCAGCAACGAGGAAGTGGTCATGTATTATTTTAGGAGTTCCCCTGCCCACCCGATCCTCTCAAAATTGGGAGCAATCAGGTACAGGTTTTTTTTTTTGTTTTGATTTTTTTCCCTTTCCACCTCCTGGAGTCCTGGGTTTCCCCACATCTCCCCTGCCCCTCCCATTTCTTCATAGTCCAAGGGCCAGAGTAAATGAAAATACAGCAGCCACCCAAGCAATGGGGACCATGCTGAGGCTTCAGTCATCAGCATCTTCACTGGAGTCTGAGTTGGCTGGCATCATAGGGTCATCAATGAGTGAGAAGTCCCTTTCTGAGCTATCATAGCCCTGAGATAAATCATCATCATCTTCCTCATCCTCGTCGTCGTCATCCTCCTCAGGTTGCAGTGATGGCAACCGCAAGGCAGTACCAGAGGTGGTAGTCGCTGGTGAAGAGGGGTAGCCAGTGGCTCTCAAGCCTGGATGGTGATGGTGGTGATGGTGGGGGTGGGGGTGGTGGTGGTGGTGATGAAGCATGGTGCTGGAGTCTACATGAGGGGATGATGCTGCACCACCCATCACAAATGGCATAAAAGGCAAAGATGCAGAAGTGGCACTGCTGTGACCCAGAGATGACACAGACTGTAGGCCACCACTGCTGTGTTGGAAGGTGTTATGTAGAGATAAGGACCCAGTGCCTCCTCCCTGCATCAGGGCCATCATCTTAGAAAGGTCTGGTCGCGTCCTGCGGGCCCGCTTCTTGCTGCTCTCTGGTGCAATAGGCCCTGGCAAAACCCGGTTGAACACAGTTTCAGCATGGTGACCCTGAGAGAAAAAAAAACAGAAGACAGTAAAAAGAAAGAAGGGGCAGGAGAGAGAGGAGAAGATAAAGATGCCAGCGGAGTCCTAGCTCACAATTTTTTTTTTACTGAATCTGTCATAAACGAGGTAAAACAAGTATTATGGCACTAGGCTTGTCTAGTGGTAATGGGGAACAGGAAATAAATGCTGGACTCAGCTGGTGGAAACTATGATGCTGAAGCTAAGATTAAGGATTTGATACTGATATGTGAACCAGAGATTATTGCTTTTTCCCCCCAGGGACTATATTATACCTTTACTCCAGCCAACCATTTCAAATGTGCAACTTTTGTTAATAAGGGGTATAGGTAAGGCAGTGAATGAGTCAGCACATGCACACTTAAGTGTCTATTGAAGCAGGTTACTCTCATGATCTTAATACATGAAGTACAGCATGACTATATTGATATTTACAGTATTACTCTCTAGTATTACACCTCAGAGGATAAATTCAAGACAGTCATAAGGAGACTTCTACATACCTAGAACACTAAAATAATAGGTAGCTCCTCACCATATTCATATATCTGCTGAATTTTAAATGGCTTCTTCTGGATGGTTCTGACTACAGATACTGATTAAGTTCACTGAAGTTGGAAATTATTACTTTTAGTGCCTCTGCTTTGTTACTTGCCTTAGCACAACATGGGGTTAACTGGGATTAAATGCTTATAGCAACTGGTACCTCTCTGCACTGTTTCCCAAGCTAAGCCTAACATCTAATAAGGGAGCATACCTTTATAAAACAAACATCATAATATTAGTTTCTATGGATTTTTTAAATAAACTGTAATAACGCTTGAACTCTACAGGTCTTGGTAATAACAATGCTAGATTCACTGTCAATTCTGCACTAAGAATTCTGTACTGGTCAAGTCATATTATGTGCTGTGACTTCCTGTGATTTAGCCTTTCTTAAGGTTGTCAACTGACCTTGTAAGGGAGTTGCAAAAATACTTGGGATAAAAATAGGCAATACTGGAGGAAAAATCTTTTTTATAGATTGTTCTATACAGTTAAGACAAAGATGGCATCAGTCTTCCAGCCCCCAGCCTTTCCAATATCAAACATTATACGTATTATACTCTTGGTCTCATGGTGGCTAACAGTGAAAATTAAAACATCCTACCACAGTAATATTTTTACCTATATAAAAATGATAAGCCTCAAAAATCTATTATGTGCTGATTTTAGAATTTCTGCAATATAAAACATTATTAATTTGAAATTAATTCTGTTAAAAGATCACCATGTGGTGTTAATAGATTATATAAAAATCAAATGGAGAATGGTTAAATCAAGTACAAAGATACATGTTCATCTAGATAACTGCCAGCAAACCAAAGCATGATCTATACATATATGCATTAAAAATGTAACTGCTGCACAGAGTAAGGTCATTTTAGCCAAAAGAAAAGTTT